AAGTCAGGCAGTTATAACTGTGGCATATGCACGAGGCACGAGAGAGAGAGAGAGAGAGAGAGAGAGAGAGAGAGAGAGAGAGAGAGAGAGAGAGAGAGAGAGAGAGAGAGAGAGAGAGAGAGAGAGAGAGAGAGAGAGAGAGAGAGAGAGAGAGAGAGAGAGAGAGAGAGAGAGAGAGAGAGAGAGAGAGAGAGAGAGAGAGAGAGAGAGAGAGAGAGAGAGAGAGAGAGAGAGAGAGAGAGAGAGAGAGAGAGAGAGAGAGAGAGGAGAGAGAGAGAGAGAGAGAGAGAGAGAGAGACGTGTGTGTGGGGGGGGGTGGCTTGTGTGGGTGTGTCTGAATAAGTGAGCATGCAAAGAGGCATGGAGTAATACATATTACATTCACTTGATTGAATCAATGATCAAGAAATAATAGACATAAAATTTCCATAACACAAGGAAAATATTCATAGATATTCTGATAACTTTTAATCACAACTAGTAGCAGTCATGCAACCCAGCCAGTTGCTTTTGTTTGTTCCGTTTCTGCTTTTGTGTCTTTATTTCGTCATAATGTGCCTGAAACCTAAAAACTGGACAACTGGTACAAAAATGGTGAAGCAGTCAGTGTTTGAAAGGGATGTCCTTAAGAAATGGTGGGAAAATCCAGCAAATAGCCCATGAGAGACCTGAGAGGCATCATCCTTCAGTTGATCCATCTGCTGTGCAGGATGACAAGTTCTCAGCTAAAAGCTCTTGTGCACAGAAGATGCTATTTTTACGCTTGTCAAAATCTGTTATCCTTGGCATTTTCAGTAGAAGCAACTAAAGAAAAAGAGTCTTTGCAACAAGCTGCTGGTAACAAAAGTGCCTAAAGATACGATTTTAAATTAGTTCTTTGCCAGGTTTTTATTCGTGGGCAAACTTGTGCCTTTATGAATGATTTATGATGAAGAAGCCTGCATGTTTGGTGGTTGTTACAGTGGTTTCTTTATTGATTTGGACACAGTCACAACGGCCTTGGGTCAGAGAATATAAAACAGACCAGTCCTGTAAACTTTGCTGGCGTTCTAATGAAATAGTATCCCAAAAAATATATCATTCCATGGCCTATTTTAGGGGGTGGATCTACATTTTAGTAAGTGATTGCATGACAGAGACTGATTGATCGAGTATGAGAACTGACTCATAAAAGAGACAAGATGGATTCTCTAAAGTTTGCTTTCAGGAGACAGCAGACGGCCGGGATGTGACGAACTTTGAGTAAGAATGTTTGTTTGTCACTGGCATCTTCAGATGATTTTCCCCTCCTCTGAGACGATAATGGCCGTCGTACATCACGGCGCCTGCGTCTCCCATCGTGGCTGAGACAGGCGCAGTCTGACATGAGTTAATGATCAGAGTTTAAAAAGGAAATGAAGATTCACGAGTTTGGAGTCTGTATTTCTACTGCTGAGGAGGGAGGAAATTAATCAGGATGATTTGCATTCCTGAAGCTAGAACATGCAACAGTTTAAAAAGGTAAAACCTGAGTGTTTAATCTTTGCTTTAAAAACACCTCAAAGTGAGAAAAGTTGAAGAAAGTGTACCTAAAGGGAAAAAATAAGTTTCTTTGAACCAAAAGAACATTCTTGAGCCAACAATGGATCCTTCATTAAATATTTATTTACATTACTTACAGTCAAATGGTCTTACATAGATCAGTTACATGCAAACTGTCACATTTATAGACATTTAAAAAACACTGTACACACATTTACAGTCCAGAGGGAATAGTCTGTGCAATAAAAGGCACAAATGACCTTTGACCCTACGCCTGTGCACTTATCTTACTGACACTGTGTTTACAACTGAGACCTGGATAGTGACGGGTGTTGCTGTGTTGATATGCAGCAGAACGCCTGATCAAGAGCCCTGAAGTCTAAAAGCAAGCCGAGGCGGAGCCCTTTCTGCCGCCGTGATTAAGCGACCGGACGACAGAACAAAAGGACCATCAAGAGCTGGAACAGAATGAGGATATGCGGTGATCGATTATCCTGCATTAACTTTGTGTTTCTTTAAGGCAGTCAGGTCTGCTGACTTAGGCTAAAGCAGAAGCGTCGACCACTAAGGTTTCATTCTCCATATGGTCATCAGAAGTATAGTCTGGGAGCGACTACAGGTGGTAAGGCATAATCTGTTAAACTGGCATGAATCTCGATACAGAGCTCTGCAGGAAACAGTTTGCCTGTGGAAACTGGTGCAAATGCTTCCTATCTGCAAATTGACAATTTGTTAAACAACACCCCCAAGACCCATGGGTGGTAAATCTGGAGCTGAAACAGTGTCTGTGAGCAGATCGCATTAGGCTCATTTCACTTATATATTATTTTAATTAAATAATAAATAAATGCTTGGTAGCAGCTTGGTTCTGACCATCCTCTGGTGAAGAATTAAAGATTCTAACTGGGAAAAAAAGCAAAAAGCTAAATTAAGACGTATTTTTAGACCTCTACACAGTTGTTGCCAAATATTTGAAATGTTTAAGCTTTGTGAAAATGTTCAATACACATTCTTGAGCACCTATTCACTTCCTGCAACCACTGATGGCAGAAATACACCTGGATGCCACTATTTTAGCTCTGTCACACTGAATACATCAACCTAATCAAACCAGAGGGAGGTGGCTACATACCTGAGGATGTGGCTCTCTACCATTAGTTTTAACCAACCTAACAGAGCTTTGCATTGTGGGAAACAGCTGGTGAGGTAGACTGCCACAATGCAAATGGGAATTTCTTTTTCCTACATCAGGATCACGTGTAAGAATGTTCTAGTTTCTAAGTGCAAAACCTAAACTGTGCAGTCACACAGTTTGAAATGTTTGTTGGAATTGAAACAGGAGTTAGTAGTCAGAAATACACACACACACACATATATATATATATATATATAAATATATATATAAATACATATATATGTGTGTGTATATATATATATGTGTGTTTATATGTATGTATGTATGTATGTATGTATGTATGTGTGTGTATATATATATATATATATATATACACACACACACACACACACACATGTATATAGATAGCCTGAGCCTCTCCTGAGATGTTTGAGTCTAATTCTCAGGTCCTGTTAAAGCAGAAATCTGATACCAGAAGCTTTTCCCCCTGAAGTTTCATATCATTTAAGTGGAAATATTTCATTAGTAATTCTAAGCCTACTGTAGTTGTAAATAGGTGCAACTTTTTTTCAGAACTTTTACTGCTGTTGAAGCTTTTTATATAAATTATAAAATGTATTTTTATTTTGTTCTAAAGCTACGTCTAAAACCTGAAACCAACTGAAGCTTCTCTTCGTGCATCTTTTCTCTAAACTAGCAGAGATCAAACTGATGTCAGCTGACCACGACAGAAAAAGTTAGTCATCTGAGTTTCTGCATTATCTAAAAAAATATGATAACTATTTACATCATCTGGACTAGAGAGTTGCTGAGGAATCACATGTGATCCTTCTGTGGTTTCTGTTAAAGTGAACGCTCAGGTGTTTTAAAGAGCCTTTCTGAACTGGCTTTCTTTATCTGTCAGTCAAAAAAAAGTAAAAATTTTTTAGATCCTAAAAAGCATTATACAGTATAACAACTCTAGGATCAATGATTTGCCCAAAAAAATACAAGATGTCCAATCAAAACCACTGGAATTCATCCATCCTTCATCAAAACTACAAACGCAGGGCACAAGAGGCCGTGTGCCTAAAGCTACATCACTACATAATCTGCTCTAAAAGAGAGGACAGGAGTCTGGATGAGTAAGGAAATAAAAAGTTCTTCTAGTATGAAACATTTCAGAGATGGCGAGCGGGGTCAGCCAGGGTAATTGGCACAGATAAATACAGAAATACTCAACAGGGTCAAGGTTAAGAAAAATGCAAACCGTAGAGCTCTGGAAGATCATTTACCTGCTGACCACATGGTGCACCAGCCCCTCCGGTCCTACAGGAGGCTGCAACTAACATACAGGTTTCACATAGTATACAGGCTTTCAACAAATGTTAATGATGAAATTATAACAATAATCAGTGCATGTCTTCGTCAAGGCTTTGGCCAGAATGAATAAAAAATCAATCTACATTTTTTACACATAAAAGAACAGTACTTAGATAGGAAATGAAGGAAAACATGGATTATACGTGGGAGAGGGGCAGGGGGACTGATAGTACCATATTTATTCTAACAGAAAAAAATAACATCTCACAAACAAGGCATTTGGTCAAGTGGAAAAGCTTAATTCACAGGTTAAGTTTCTTCCTCCTTTACCTGAGTTGCTAATTGAGTTAAGCATTGCCTCAAAGGACGCATCACCGGATGAATGGCGTCAGCACGACTGACTTTATAACAACCCTCCCAACAGAACAATGAGATCACCAGGAGAGCGGCTGGTGTGTTTAAGCTGCGCCAGGCAGCGGTTCATCACAGCTGAGTTTATCGAAAGCTTGTTAAAAGTATTTTTTGACTACAGCGCTGTTTTATAATCCCAGCATCGCTTTAATTTGACGACATGCTGAATGTCTCCGAGTCTTCTTTGAGGGAAAATGTGCACTAAATCAGCAAAACCGTATTTCTTTTGAACAGAAGGGAGAGATACTGCTGAGGTAAAGAAAACTAATAGGAGTGGATTGGGTTTCTAATCAAGCTCAAAATGTAGCTTGACGTTTTGGAGCAAAAAAAATATATATATATATATATATATATATATATATATATATATATATATATATAAAAGAAGTCATAAAACGACTGTTTCGGATGTGTCGGACAACAAAAACACAACTGCATTGACGTCTAGGAGTGTGTGTATGTGTGTGTGTGTGTGTGTGTGTTAGGGGTTGCATGACTTAATTTTTTTTTAAAGTCGACAGTCAAGTAATGCAAATCGAGTCGACTTCGACTAGTCATTGATGACGTCATACTCCTGAAGCGGCACGGGGGGGTGGGGTGGGGGGTGGGGGTGGGGGGTTTTGGTTTGCTGGAGTTTTTGACAATTAAAATTGCGCCCACATTTTCAAAGTTAAACACATCTCTTTTAGCAATGCTAGTTTCTGCTTCAGCCATCTCCCCCCCTCCCCCTGCGCAGCAGCCGCAAACTCACTGATGCGCCTGCAGCCTCTCAGAGTTCCTGCTGCTCTAAACATTAAAATAATTATTTCATTTTCTGTTCCTCACTTCTGATTACCTTCAATGGTGTCTGTTTGTTGCAACCACCAGGTACAAAAACTAACTTGTTTTTATTTGACTATTTTTCTGTCCTGTCTGTTTATTATCTTCCTGCATCTCCTCTCAATCCTAAAGAAAAACTGCTACCTGGCTTCATATATATTCACCTTATGAGTTACCTTTGAGCTGCAGTTCTAAAAGATCTACCGACCGCAAAAACAGCGGAGTGCTCGCTGCTCGCCGGCCGCACCGGTGAGGTGAGTCACTGGAGGACAAAATAGGTGATGCGCTTCGCTCCGCAGCAGCGAAAAGCATCAGGCACAAATAAAAGACAGAAAACATTAAAGGAAATGAGCCGACATGAACAATCGCGTATTAACTTTGTTTTTTGAAGTGGTGACACCTAATTTGATAATGTTACTGTGGCCGTGCTCAGGATGCAGATGTCTGGAGCGCGTCAACGATCAGAGCTTTGCATGCGCAAGCTGGTTAAGGTTAGGATGGGGGTGAGGGGAAGGTGAAATTGCAAGAGGGAAAAGGTCACAGTTTGGTTAAATGTCCGTTTTACCGCGGGTGTCAGTACCGACGCTCTGGCACAGCCCGTCGCCTCCGCCTCCCGACACGCAGGGGCTCATCACCTGCTGTCTTTTCCAAAGACTGCATCTTGTCGGTCATTATCACGAGACAGCGACTAGTCGATGACAGGCATAAAAAGTCACTACAGAGCAGTGAAGTCGACTAGTTCATACAACCCCTAGTGTGTGTGTGTGTGTGTGTGTGTGTGTGTGTGTGTGTGTGTGTGTGTGTGTGTGTGTGTGTGTGTGTGTGTGTGTGTGTGCGTGCTTCAGCTGAATTTGTTTCATTAAGAGGACTAAATCAAGGCGCCAGAAACTGTCAGACTGGATGGATTTTCTGTGTGTGTGTGTCTACACATCATGCATTGCCCTGTACACTTATAATGTGTAACATAAACCGTTTTGTACATCGCTGCACAGCAAAGGCAAGTTTGTGCCCACTTGTGAGTGTAGCAGCTAAATAGTGGGTGGAAGAAAACAGGGATTTAAAAAAGAGAAAGGAAGAAATAAATAAGGATCCCTTTCAGTGATGACCTACTTTCACACAAGTAATCCAAACTGAAAAGCAGCTAGCAGCACTGAGCTCTAATTAAAGTGGATTTGAAGAGAGGTACAGCAGCTGGAAAGGAGGTGGGCTCTTTAGTAAGGCTGGTCCATCTGACACTTCACCTCAAAGATCAGAGAGGAGAGGGGAACTGGTTAGAGATCCTGGTGTTTGCTTCAGTGGGAGATGACAGTAACAGGTGTGAAGTGATGAGTCTGACACTTTGGCCTTGGTAGAACACACACCTCACCTCGAGTGAGTGTGTTCGTGTGATCAGCTTGTTTTCTTCTTATTTTAGCCGCGGTTTGCATAGCCCAGAATAAATAAGGGCCACGGAGGACACATCCACAATTCTGCATTCGATAAAGACGTCGTAACAGAAAGCACCAAGTATTTTCACACGAAGACCCGTGAAAATGTTCCCTCCCACCTTGGAAACAACTGAGGTAGGGAAACAATAAACAAGACCATGTGTCAACAATAACAAAAGCATGATTTGTGGAGTAAAACAAAGTTTCAGACATAAATTTTGAGAGCCAAAATGTGATGTTTAGGTCAAGTCTACTGATCCGTGAACGGTTAACATGATTCTCCAGTGAGCTCAGTATCAGAACACAAGTCCAACCGATACCCGAGCAGGTTTGCATCTGTCTGGAACCAAAGCGAAGGAACAGAAGGACACTTGTTTAAAAATCAGGTTGTAGACCAGAGTTTTGTTTTGCCTGGAGTTCGAACCACCAGGCTGATGTGGTTCATCTTCCTCAAGTAGCACCACACAAGATTGGCACTTTTAAAATTGGCAGTAAACAGAATCAGAAAGGCTTTTTTTTGGGGGGGGGACTACATAATCCACACCTTGATTGCCTCGGAAACTGTGACTTTATTCTCCCAGCTTGTTGCTCTGAGGAGAGCAGGCTGCAGATCAGCTGCTGCAAAGATGGCTGCAGATTCTACTGCAACCATCTTTGGTCCTCACCTCTTCCTCCACACCTTCGACAGCCAGATCTTCACCGTCTTGTCACTGGAGGAGGAAGAATGGATGATGAGCAAAAGTTAAAAAATAGAAACACAATGAAGGACGGGGGAGTGTATAACAGAACATCAATCAGGGAGTCCTGCTTCTCAAAACACCTCATTCTACATCAGACGCTGTACAAAGATGCTGGCTTCAAAGTGTACTTCACACACATACACACTCTTCATTAAACATACTCCACACTGCCAGCAACACTTCCACAACCTCAGTGAAACGTTTAATGTGATTATAACTCAGCAATCACAGCACAGAGCAGTTAAAGCCTCGCTGTCATTCACATGGTAAATTAGGTCAAACAGGGTAAAGAGTGGGGGCTCGGTAACGCCGTCCATCAGAGACACGACCTGCCTGTGCTGTTTAATAACACCCGAGCACATTTATAAGGAAAATTAGTCATTGACACTAAATATAAAACTAAGGCTAAGACCCAGATTTCTATAAAATGTCATTACTTCTCGTCAGAGTGAAGCAGCACACACATCATGTAAATACACGTGAGGCTGAGACAGTTCATCAGGAGAAAAGATGTTTGTCTTAGTAGAAGAGTAAAAACACTTCCATCTTTTATTTTTGTTTTGCTTTCAATGAGTTGGAATTTCTGTTATTGTTCAAAGTTGTCTTGATCAACAGTTCTTCTGCCTCTATGAAGTGTTTCAAAGATCTTCTGTAGAATTGGCTGCCTAAAGGTGTGGAACATTCATTTAATCAATACATTTTCAGTGATCTCTAGTAGGAAAGTCGTACTCGGGGGCAGGATTCAGGTTAGAACTAGAAGAAGTCTTATTTCCTGACATTTAAACATCTCAACTTGGACTGACTAACAGCAACGTGACTCGCTGACTTGCAACGAGGATGTTTTATCTCCTCAAATAACACAACCTGGAGGGGTTCCGCTGTGTGCTAACAGTTACCTATTACTAGTCACGATTTTATCTGCTGTTTCCTGGACGCTAAACCAACAACAGCCTTCCCCGTCACGAGTCAAGATGGGTGAGTCCATGAACGTTAAGTGACAGTGTGACATAGATCTGTCAGGATTTTCAAATCCTAGAGTTTCAGCGTCTATATCAGAAGCTAATGCAGGAGATAGGTGTAGAAGACTATTTTCTACCTTAGAGCGGCTGATAATAATCAGAAATACAATTTTAAGAATGCTTTTTCAGTGATCCACATTTTTTAAAGTGTTTAAAAACTGTTCTAGTTTATCGTCATGTTACAACAAGCAGGAAGTCCCAGTACAGTTTTGCTTACATAAGCCCTTCCCATTAGCATGTCTGCACCCTTCAGCACCCAAAAACTTTCACCACCCCCTACGTGGTCTGAACGCCCCCTGGGGTATGCTACAGCCTCTGCTGCTCATCAGCAAATTAACCGCAGCTGTGGGACTCTGGTGCTGATCTGCACACAGAGAGAGGGAGCCTGCAGGGTGGAGCTGTCCCGGTGCTAAAGGACACCGCAGAAAGGTGATTGAAAAAGCATCTTCAAATTTGTTTAAAGCTGACTGTTAACTTCTAATTCACAGTTAGCATTGTTAGCTCAACGTTAGCCTCTAGCCTTTTTTATCTGATGATAGATGTAGTGGCCTCCAGGGCTAATAACTTCTGGGTCACTCCTGTTACTGGATTTGGTTCGCTTCCTTCCAAAATGACTGAGACATCACATGGTTTTGTAAACTTTTCAATTACTGTACAGTTCTAACCATTCTATTGGAAGATTGGACAAAAGAACAGTCAAGTTTAAATAGAATGTCTCCAGCAGATTAAAAGTATCTGAAAGTCAAGTCTTTAAAAAATATGAAAAGAACCTAAGTTCTCAAACAGGACCAGAGATGCATCATGGACAACAGGTCCTCAGGTAACAGGTCCTTCTGAGTCACCTCGTCAGAGCTCAAATATATTCCATGCATGTCGTCTGGGCAATCTTTGGTACATTTGATTCAGGAAATGAAATGTGAAAAGAATGTGCCTTTGTAGCAGACTGTAGAGTTACCATGGAAGTCGTTGGAAATGTGTTTAAGTTTAGGAGCCGTTTTATTCCTTACTGATGTAAAGGTCAGAATTAAAGTGTCAATGCCCTGAAAATGTTCAGGTACGGAACTAAAAAAGTCGCTTTCTTCAGAAAACCTGAAGAATTTCTGATCAAGTTTTAGTGTTTAATAGCAAACGATAAAGGAATAAAGAGCGACTCGTGATTTTAGCGCACAACTGCACATGGGAGCAAAAAAGCTTAAATAATCACAAGAAATAAACTAAAACATCAATTACAACAACAGCAATAAAAAGGGCTAGAAACCAAAAATAAAGAGTAGAAGAACTGATTCCAGTAACCCGGGGACAGAAAACTCTAAGCTGGTGGATGCAGACAGACAGGAAGAAGAGAGTGATTGGATAGTACCAGAGGAAAGAAGGGGTGGTGAGCACAGGACAGGCAGTCATGGGAGGCTGATGGCTCGGCCCTTGATGGCCAGGACACGACGAGGAAGACATGGGGTCAGACCTGGCACATAGCTCCACAGTTTCACCCTGCAGTCACTGATGTCCACAGGAGGAGGAGGAGAGGGGAAGAAGACGAGGTAGGCAAAGGTAAGAGCGAGTCCAAGCAAAGAATATATTTATCCACAAAACAAGATGACAGAAGAATATGATTAAAGACTTGATGAGGAGACACGAAGCAAGGGTAAGTCAGCTTCAACTGGAAAAGCGGACAAGTGAAAGTTTTCCTTAATTAAAATTACCTGGACGCTGTGAAGATCTGTCTGGAGTTGGTGCATATGGCATTAATAGGGCTGTCGTGACCTCTGACCTCGCCGATGGGTGTGAAGTTTTCAACATTCCACACCTTCAGCATGCCTCCCCGACAGGCGCTCAGCAGCATGGGCCGACCGGGCACGTAGGCCAGGGCGCACACCCAGTCCTTATGGGCGTTCGGGATTTGCTGAGAAATATTTAGAGACAGAAACACATTAAAAGCAGAAGAAAAACCTTACACACACACACACACACACACACACACACACACACACACCCTCTCTAATCTATGAAAGAAAAGAATCCTCCAGCTACATTTTATCTCATCTTTAAATAGCAGCAGATAAACATGCATGTCCAGTGTTTTATTTTTAATGGATGGGAATTTTCACGAGGGTACCGGCACACTCCTTGAACGGAGAGGTCCCTTCATTGTTGCTAGGCAACGTAAAAGTACAAGTATTTTTTTAAGACTCACTGTGATGGTTATTCTTAGACCGTGTGTCTTGAGCTCTGTATTTCATTGTAGGCTTTGATGAGAATTCATAAGCAAAGAATTACAAAATAAAGGTTTGTGTTAATGGGCCGCATCAACGTGAAGCTCCAGCAAAAAAAAAAAAAGAATAAATAAAAAGGGGAAATGTATATTTTAGCAGCAATAGATGTTGCAGTTTATTCATTTATATTAAATGATTTATGAAATCTTACTTGAGGGTTATCTTTTTACACCTGCAGGCATATTTGTGTTGAGGTTTTATAGTCTACACACTTAAACAGCTTGTTTAGTTTTACAAGATCCACCAACATGATTTGATGCTTATTCAGAAGGAGACAGACAAAGAACTTAAATCAAGCTTATGGTTATTTCTTCATGCAGGCCTAACGAGAAGTATTAAACGTATTTTTTAGCAAGTTTTGTATTTTCTACTAAACAAAGTTTAAATCCACATTTATTCCATCAGACTTACTGTAATCCCTTTTTCTCCTGAAAACTGTCCAATCTGTAACACAGAGCTCCTGTTGTGCCGTTTTAATGGCATTTTTATGAATTACAATGGAAACCATGTCTAATAAATCACTAGTGAGGTAGGCTGTTAAAACACAATCATTTCAGCCACCATCGTTTTATTACACAGTAAACAGAAACAACACGACTCTGATTTTATGCAGAGCTTTATTAAACTTTTATGACTCAAGCAGTTTGGCTTTAATGTTGTTCTGTAGCATCGTTTATCTCAAGCCAACTGGGCTGAACGTTAATTCATCTCTGAGCTGTGCAACACACACACACACACACACACACACACACACACACACACACACACACACACACACACACACACACACACACACACACACACAATTTATAATATTGCATAATATACAAATACTGTCTTGTGTAGTATTTCTTTTTTAGTTTAAAATTCATTTTCATTTTCAGATTTGATCTATTTTCTTTATTATTCTACAGAAATGTGTCCAAAACAGCAAAGCAAAGACGTGTGTTGAGGAGATCTGGGGATTAAAAAAGAACGAAGCTCTAAGATCTCCAAATGACGGCGTTGTTAAACTCTTTAAAATAGCCCTACTCGATTTCGGCAAAACTGATAACCATGATTACTTTGACTGAAACTGAGATCGGTTTTATTTACTGTTGATAAGACAAATACTCATGGCAAAAGAGCGATATACAGTGCAAATAAACATGTGAAACATATGAAAAACATAAACATCTATGTTTTTTTTTTTACTTCCACAACCTGCTGCACAATAATTATTTATTATGTGTGTTTTGAGAGTGAGATCCACAGAGAAAGGTCGATGTAACGTGATCATGCTGCACATGCACGCACCATTACCTTTTCTAATGTCTGGAAAAATGGTCAAGAGCGCAGGCTGGGTGTTTTGCTAAGCTGCTGAGAATATCGACAACAAAGTTCTACAGAAAGTAGCTAAAGGTTACAAGAAATGTAGCTAAGACGTTCGTTAGGTAGTTCTGGGAATAACAGTGATGAAGAGGGTCTGAAAAGTTGTCAGAATTTGCAATAAAATGCCGTGTGGGAGGTGTGCTCGATTCGAAACTTGGAACAGCACAACAGAAAACTGCGAGCGAAGAGCAAATCATCTGATCCTTTTGTTTTTATGATCACTTATAGCCCAGACGGTAATTGTGATTAAAACTCGATTATTCGACCATCTCCGCTTTCAGATGTAAAAATTCTAGCTCAACCAGAGTGGACAGGGAACTGTACAATAACCTGAGAAACAAACATGTCTGCTTCTTATCCAAACTTCTAAGTTAAAACTTTCATTCAAAGAATAAAGCATATTTTATTTTAGATGATTGCTCTTCTTTGTCTCCGTGTTTCTTTTATATGTTGACAAATGCATTAAAATCAAGAGGAATTTGGTTAAAACATAATTCATAATGAATGACCAAGTCAGAATACGGTAGTGCACCTCACAACCTAGTTCACCCTTCAGACAGGAAGGAAAGAAATCAGTTTAAAATCAGGATGAATTAAAAGGTTTAATCCATGTTCTCGGGACACAGAAACAACACCTTTAATGTCATTTATAAAGCATAAAGAGGAGGTACAATGCACCTGGGCATGGCTGCTATCCTTATATACATCCTCATGGTTTATAGGGCAGACAAAAGTTCCTTTAGTGTCTTTTTAAGCACAATATTAAGAGCCGGGCATTTATTCTGTCATTCGTACACCAACATGATGTTATTAGTTAATAATTCCTTCTGAACTCTCAAAGCAAAGCCTGAACCCTCATTGTACAAAAAGCTTTCAACAGATTCCTTTTGACTGTGAGCAGACCTGCTGGTCGTGCAGCACGCCGCTCTATTTTTAAACACGAAAAGCAAATATATTTCCCCCCCGATCGTCTTTCAGCTCCAATCGCCATCAAAAGCTACTTGGCGAAATCTCCTCATGCATTCCAAGCAGAAAAATGATTGTTCTAAGAAATTACTTTTCTTTGAGCGTTATAGTGAACAGACCATGTCAAGTGGAAAAACAGATTTAGTTATTAATTCCTTCTAAAAGGACACACAATTCTCAGCGTGAGAGTTTTGATAACTTGGTTCTGTGACTTGGTGTTTTACTAATTTTTTACACATTAAATATATCAGAAAAGCATGAAGAAAATGTCTAAAAATGCAATTTAAAAATTGGTTTATCATATTCATTTCAGACAAAAGCATATTTTGAAAGATCATTTTAGCCATAATAGTAATATTAAACCCATACTAATATTTTAATAATTTAAAATATTTTTCTTGAACCAGTATGTGCTAAAACGACCCTTTACAGCCGGGGTATTTAATTCTGGTCCTGGAGGGCCGGTATCCAGCACGTCTTAGTGGTTCCTCTGCTCCAGCACACCTGTGCAGCGGCTCATCAGGCTCTGCAGAAGCTTGTTAATTACCTGCTGATTGAAATCAGGTGTGTTGAACCAGGGTTAAAACTAAAACGTGCTGGAGACCAGTAGCTCCAGGACCAGAATTGAATAGTCCAGCTTTACAGGGTCAATGAGATGTCACTCAGGCCCCCACTGCCCTCTGTAGCCAGAATATTCCACTTGCATCTTCAGAGTGCGGGCCGCCACTACTTGTTGGACTTTTTAAAATTGAGCTGACATAGCTGGCGCTGCAGTCTGGTTTCCAGCACGTTTCCTGTATGTTTTAGATCATGAACACAGCTGATTTGTTTAGAGATGAATCACTCCTGTAGACACTAATGAAGGCTGGGGAGACATTTCAACAGTTAGATTAAGATTAAAGACGAATGCACAGCAAGGAGATAAGTGTCACTTTTGGGTCTACTAAATGGACACTAGGGGGTGCTAAAAGCAAGCCAAAACAGCATATTGTGGCTTTAATAACTCATCAGTTCTTTACAGATAGTGCTTTTAACAACTACTCAGACACGTTACTAATAAGGAACTGTGTATCTGACTACAAATTATAAATAAATATGACCATCTTCTGTTCAGAGAAATAATTATGCCTTATAAAAGCTAATTTCCTTCACTGCATTATTTTATTTTTCCCGTTTGGAGACATACTGCTGATTATTTATGAAAATTATTCATGTTTTTATTTGTACTACTTTTTAAGGTTTTAAATCTGTTCAAAGAAACAAAGTATAGATTTTTATGCTTCGAGGCAGGGCCAATTTAAAATGTACCCAAACATACAAATGTTTGACCTCCGGTTGATTCAAACGCCTCAAAACTCCTAACTTTGATCATGTGATGTTATTTTTAAAACCTTTACATCACAGAATGTTTTAAATGTTATTACATGGAATGTGCACTGTGGATCGCTTTCAGAACATCAAGAGATCAAACCCAAAATGATGGAAATGTAAAAGTTTGTTAAACAACATCTGCATAAACCAGAGATTAGAGCTCTTTAACAATGCTTGTTTGTGTGTTCTCACTAGCTGTTAGCTCATCAGTCACAATGAACAGTAGCAGCTGGGTGCCCATTTTTATTCTGTTTCACCTTGTTCAATTTGTGGGTTTTGCTCCATTTTTATTGTTTTAAACGGGTTTTATATGGCTTGTTTCAATTCCATATGTTTTCGTCGTCGTCGTCGTCGTCGTCGTCGTCTTCCTCCGCTTATCCGGGTCCGGGTCGCGGGGGCAGCATCCCAACTAGGGAGCTCCAGGCCGTCCTCTCCCCGGCCTTGTCCACCAGCTCCTCCGGCAGGACCCCAAGGCGTTCCCGGACCAGATTGGAGATGTAACCTCTCCAACGTGTCCTGGGTCGCCCCGGGGGCCTTCTGCCGGCAGGACATGCCCGAAACACCTCCCCGGGGAGGCGTCCAGGAGGCATCCTGATCAGATGCCCAAACCACCTCAACTGGCTCCTTTCGATCCGGAGGAGCAGCGGTTCTACTCCGAGTCCCTCCCGAATGTCCGAGCTCCTCACCCTATCTCTAAGGCTGAGCCCGGCCACCCTACGGAGGAAACTCATTTCGGCCGCTTGTATCCGCGATCTCGTTCTTTCGGTCATTACCCAAAGCTCATGACCATAGGTGAGGATTGGGACGTAGATCGACCGGTAAATCGAGAGCCTGGCTTTCTGGCTCAGCTCCCTCTTCCCCACGACAGATCGGCTCAGCATCCGCATCACTGCAGACGCCGAACCAATCCGCCTGTCGATCT